CAGATATAAACAATATTTAGTTGCTGTGTTTTGTTTTATTATATTCTATTTGTCTTTTTGTTTTTTGTTAGGCCTTACATGACTATTTTACAAAAAAAAATTATATCTGTTTTGTTTTATTTTAAACAATTAAAAAAAAATTATTGTAATAATTTAAACACGTTTTTCTGTGCTGTAGCCAGTTCCGTTAAAATTCCGCCTTAGGGAGAGGCTTTTGTCAATAATTGATGTCAATAAAGCTTATTATTATTATAGTTAATGATCTATATAAATAATCATTTAGAATAATTATTATTTAAAATTTTGGCTAATGGCGCCTAGCTAAAGCCTTGTAATAATAATAAAAAGGGCCGGATCTACCACAAGGCGCGGCCATGTTCTAAATGGCGCTGACTCACAAGAAAAGGCTATAGTCAGTTGAATACGAATTTCAACCAATTTATTTTGGTGATATTGCATCAAAAAATATTTAGCACATATTCTGGCGTTCCCGGGGTCCTAGAGACCGAGGAAAACAATTTTTTATGACTTCAAACAAAATTTATGTTATTTATTTTTGCCTTTGCTTTGCCCGAATTTTTAGTTTATTACATACCGACAATTTTCTTTTTTTTTCAGAATAAAAAAAAATTACAATTGTATTAAATGAGTTATAAGGTATTAACATAAATTAAAAAACCTAAATGGTACTTCCAGTAAAGCAGGCCAATTAATTTTTGTTATGAAAAAGCAAGTTAGATTTGTTTTTAGTGTCCTTTGAAACTCTTCAACGTTATTACAACCGTTGGAAAGCCGAATTACTGATCTATAAACCACATCGATAACTGTTCATTCCTTTTTAAACTAAAAATTATGAAAAATTTCATAATCATTTTTATTTTATATCTTTGGTTCTTATTTGTTTACGGGCATCAGTTTGCTACCATTTCGTGTATCATAAAGAGCCATAAATCCCTAATAATTTTCGTGCCGATCGGTGGAGCCTTTGTAAAGCTACCACAAATGTTTAATTGTTGTCAAAATTTCGAAGGGAAAAATTCTAGCCTACGGAAAAATTTTGAGCAGAAAATTATAATTTTTTTATTGCTATAAAAATTCGTATTTAAGGGTTTTTTGAGGTATGTGAAACGAACATCAACTTTGCTTTTCCCTAAAAATATATTTACTCCCACATTGATACGTCGGTTGGTCCATTTCGATCCATATTGTAGTTCGGTATTTAGAGTAAATATGTTTCCAGGAACAAACAATTTTAATTAACAAGTTAATATTCGTTTATCGCATTGGCGAATTAAGGAACAATTAGGCTACTTAGGTAGAGAATGAATACATTCAGAAATGCTAAAAAGTGGAGGGGATGAACTAAAAAGCTATGTATAATAACCTTATTGTTAATGAAGAAAAATGAAATATTTAAAAACTTCAAGAAACCAAAATCTGAAACAACACCACGATCTGCAAATCGGCGAATGCAGTTTTAATAGAACAGGCACTTGTAAGTATCTCGTTTTTGTCATAACAGATGTTAACAGAATGAAAGATGAAATGAATGCGAGGCTGTCTGCAGGTAGTAAGTGCCTTTAAACCCTACGAAAAACATTGAATTTTAAAGTTCGTTCGAAAAAATGTATTATCGATCATCAGTTTGGTTTCTGCTCACGTCACTGCATAGTAAAGCAAAGCCTACATGACCATAAATACTTTGCTCTTGAAAGCAAGCAATATTGCACTGGTGGATGTATCGCAAGCTTTCGACCAAGTGTGTCACAATGGTTTGCTTTTCAAGCTCAAAATACATTTAATTCAATCCTTGTACTTAGTCCTCAAATCCAATCGTTCCTTCCTAGTACGCTGTGGTTCAGAATTTTCTGATTGTTACCCAGTCGAGACCGGTGTTCCACAAGACAGTGACTTGGGTCGTATTCTCAACATTCTTTTGACTGCAGATATCCCAATAGATTCCAAAACCTTCCTAGTAACATTTGATGATACCGTCATCTCCCACTCAGTCCCAGAAATAGCATCACTCAACCTGCAAAACACCTTTCACTGATTGAGCAGTGGTGCAACAATTAGCACATCAAAATTATTAAATCAAAACGTAAACATGTCACCTTCATCTTCAGACGCCGATCCTGTCCGGCAAACCTAGTTAACTCTATTCCTCTTCCCATCTTAGACACTGTCGTTTTGTTGGCTTCTTTTCAGACAAAAGACTGACTTGGAACCCTCACACTTCCCTTAAAAGACAAGAACTAAACCGACGATTCGGCCAGTTATAAAAATTACTAAACAGAACATCCCATCTTACAATTGTAAACAACTCATTAATCTACAAGACCGTACTGAAATCTATCTGGACATACGGACTTGAACTTTGGGTGACAGCTAAACTTTCGAATATCAAACGTATCCAATCTTTCCAGTCCAAAGTACTCAGAACAAGAGTCAATGCTCCTTATTATGTCACAAACAAGACCTTACACTATGACCTTAACATCCCATATGTCCTTGACTTCATCCCAGCCAGATTTACTAACTTTTGCCAGAATCTTATGCATCATCCTAATCCTCTACTTCAATCCCTATCCAGCTTCAACCATCCTCCTCGCAGGTTAAAATGGCCGTGCCTGTATATCCTGCCCATGCCTGCAAGATGTTGAAGTTAATCTGGAAATAGAAGACAAGGCAATACTTGTGAATAGTATGACACAAAGTTCTGTTTCCTGGTGTTACAGTCATGGGGTGGTGCACTTGGGTAAGTAACTGTCGTCGTAGTTCACATGCGCGCTACCAGGCATTGCCACATGTGCGCGCTCACGCATTTTACCTTCAAGTTTTATTTTTATTTAATATTATTTTAATGTAAAAAACTGCAATACAAACTTGTAAATATATATATACATTGTGAATACGATCGGGAGTGATTTAGGTGCTCATCCGCCCAACACTTGAGTTCTTCCTTTCTTAGTCTCTTTCTCATCTATTGAGTCATTTATCCTCATTAAACATGCTCTGTCGAGGCCTTCTGTGTTCTCTCTTAACCTACCTCGACAGAAGTTTTTTCTTTTTTTGGCGCTGCAACCCACGTGGGACTAAGGCATCCTGTAAAATCAGTTGCCAGTCATTTTTGTTTCGAACCGATTTCCAGTCTCGAATATGAAGGATGTATCTTGCGCCAGCCGCCAAATCATCAGCCCAACACATATAGTTCCTCTCTTGCCATACTGTCGTAGTCTTCTCGAAAGTCCATGAAAAGGTGGTATAGCATATTCTCAGATGTTTTCCAGCAGTTTCCTTAAAGAAAATATCTGGTCAGTGATTACTTTCCCTTTCATAAAGCCAGCCAGTTATGGTCCAATTACATGCTGTGCAAAAGGATGTAGTCTTTGGAACCAAATTCTAGATAGGATCTTATATGCAGATGCCATAAGTAAGATATCAAGAAAGTTACTGCACTCCAGGATATTCCCCTTTGTGTAGATCGGACAAGTGACTGTTCTGAACCATTCCTCCGGTAGTTATACCTGTTATACAATATGAGATTTTTGATACATTTCGTTAATTCAGTCCCACCATACTTAAATATCTCAGCTGGTAATCCATCAGGTAATGGGACCTTATGGTTCTTCAATCTATCAATTGCTTCTCCTATGTAACGAGATGTCAATAGTGTGATTGACTACTTTCTATATACCATGTGACTATGGGAGTGACCACATGCTGTTGATCCCAGATAACAGAATACCTTCTACGAAAAAGCCTTAGCCAAAAGCTTATGAAAAGATTGAAATAAAACAGCTGCAGGATATTCGGAAACGAATGGATTATGAGAACGAACTAAGGAACAGGCTGCATGAACTAAAATTTCATGAAAGCTTAGATGAACTATGGCTGAAGCTGAAAACAGCCATATTAGAATCAGAGGTTTTCAGATTCAGCACCCCAAAAAACATATGGACCTGTCCAGGAAAATTCCTCAACAATTTTTTTCTGTCCAAACTGCCAGATGACTTTAAACTCCTTGCTTTTTCATAAAAAAATTTATTTGGCCTACTTTATTGGAAGCGCTTTTTGGTTTTTGTAATTTATGGTACATTATAACCCATTTAATAGGATTGTAAATATTTTTTTCTAATTCTGCACAACTAAATAAATCTATTGGTATGTAATAACCTAAAACTACGGATAAAGCAAAGACTAAAATAAGTTTTGATTGAAATAATATAAAATATTTTTTTCTTGGCTCGGGCCCATTGGGACGAATGCCGGGATATGTGTCAAATATTTTTAGATGCAGTAGCACAAAAAAATATTTGATTGCAATAGGTGACCCATTGATTGTAGTCTCCCCTTTTGAGTTAGTGCCTTAGGACTTGGCACCTGGAACAGCCACTCCATTTACCCTATGGTAGGTCTCGCCTTGCTGCTGCTCGCCCTGACACAATAGCGGTCTCAAGGAGGTTAGCCTCTGTGCTTATGTAGTTTCTTGTATAGAGCCTATCCACAAAGTGGGCTTTCCAATCTATCCCTGAAAAGTTTCCAATCTGTATTTCTCGGGTTTCTTTATAGTATTGATAATCGAATAGTGGAGGTGGTGATCCACAATGAAGTGCCATCTTTTCCACCTGAGGGTACTTCCTCCCTGAAAAAGGTAGCTTGCCTGAAAGCTAAAAGGAGGTAGCTCTCCATCAGGGTTTGGGCACAGGTGAGCTACCTACCACCTCACCCGTGATAAAAATGATTACAAACCCTCACAATGCACCAGACAGTAGACAAGGAGTGGATGAAGAAGAGTAAACTAATCAATTATTTTGAAATTGATAGAGAAAAATTACTGAATTATTAAATGTTATTAGTTATTTCAATGACAAATAAGTTTTAATTATAATCATTATTCCACTGATCATCCCAATATCCTAATCTAGATATTATATGTTCTTTGCAAGTGTTTCAATTATAATTAAGGAAAAATAACAATATTCAGCTTTTTTTTTATTAACAATTAACTAATTTATTTATAACTTATTTCCTTTACAAATCTTATCTCAGTACAAATTTAATAAGCATGTCAATGTGTTTATCATCTAAAAAATAAGTATTCTGAATAAATTACAAAATCAAAATTTAATTAGAATGTTTCATAAGTTGTAATATTTATTACAAATTATTTGTCTCCTGGGATCAACTTTTCTTAGCTGATTAATAATGTATAAATTTATTTTAATATTTTGTGTTTTAAATATAGGTTCAGATAAATAGGAACTACATTAGATAAAATTAATTAAAAAAAAAAATGTCACCTTTCATAATAAATAAGATTATTACCATCAAAATAATATTTTAAATTTCTCAGGAAAATGCGACTGCAATTTAATGGATATAAAAATCAAATTATTTTTAATTTAAAATAACTTATATTATGTGAAACAACCAGAATAATTTGAAAACAATAAAAAAGGAAAGTACAATAGTAAACAGCAGAGTAAAAATGAAATATACTGTTTTCTATTTAATGATAACATAAGCAAACAGAACAAATTGTTTTACAAGAAATAAGGCACAAGACACGATTAATTATTTAAGAATAAAATTTGTAAAAGTGATAAATAAAAATCACAGACACATGTGAATACAGTCTCAGCCTCTTTTCACCAATGCATAAACTATAAAAAGGAAAACATACAATTTATCTATTGAAAATGTACACGAGATATGACCCTCTAGAATCAAACGGAACAGTATTCAATTTTTCAAAAAATAGCAGGTAGAAGGGGATTTTGACTGAAAATTCAATGAGAGAACTGTGGTGTTTTTAATTATACACCACATCTTAACTTAAAAAGACGAATGCTATAAGTTAAGAAAAATAAAACTATGAAATTGAATGTATTTTTTATTTAACTTCACAACATCTAATTAGATTAACTACATCAAGTTGAATCATTCAGTCTTGAGAATCATAACTATAAGATCTAAGATCAGAACTATAAGATCTCGGATTTATTTTACTTTTTGGTGTGATTTGGAAGAAGAATCAAAATTATTTGAGGGAAAACATCATAAAATACAAGTTTTTTTGTTACTATTTTCTAAAACATTGATTCTAGAGGATTTGACATGATATGATTTGAATTAACATTCCTTTTAGAAATCATCAGTAATAAATCTCTTCTTCATTCCATCAAGATTTATTAAGATGTTTAAGAAATGAGTTCAAATTCTGCATGTTGAGTTGGTATCCTCATCCTTCAAACAGTATCTTGATCCAGTCACTCTGGAAATAAAAATTTAAATCACTTCAAATATGACAGTATTTGGCAATTATTATAGATAATAATGTGTTTTAAATTAATTTTTACTTTGCAAAGAAATACTCATTTAAGTGAACTTTTATAAGTAAATGAAAAATTACAATATGGCCAATTATAAAAAACAATCTGTTTCTATATAATATTGTAGTCAATGGTTAGTCAGCATAGTAGGATAAATTTTCATTATATTTTTCTCAAATACAAACCATCCATTTATTTTTTCCTAAAAGAATATTTTTTTTTAGTAGTTTCAATATGAAGTTTTTCTCAACTAAACTCTTTTAGCAATTCTCTCCATCTCTGCTGTTCCATTGTATCCTCCTCTGACAGTCCCTTACCAGCCATACTCTCCACCACTCTATTCTTCCATCTAACTGGGGGCTTCCTCTCTTTCTTCTACCCTCTGCCTCCCAATCCATAATTATCTTTGGTATCCTATTGTCGCTTACTCGTCTCACATGGTCATACCACCTGCGTCTCCTTTCTTCCATTACTTCTAGGATATTTAGCTTTATTTCTAATCCCTCCCTTATAGTGGCATTTCTTACCCTTTCGATCCTTGATATCCTATAGCAGCTCTCCTCCAAAAATCCATTTCAACTGAAAAGAATTTTTTTCCCTGGGTCATATGGGGGGCCATAAAATAAAAATTACCACATGAATAATGCATATATTTCAGGGTCACCTATGAATAGTAGATTAAGTGAAATCTGGTGGATTTTGAGTTCAGTTCCAAACATAATTTTTCATTCTTTTTTAATAAATAGGAAACATGCTATTGTTATTGTAAAGAATGAATATCTTTCTTTGCAATAGCCATATATAACACTTGGCTCATTAAACACAAAGAAAGAAAAAAAATAGGTTTTTAAAACCACTCGAAATCCACAAATTAAAATTGTACTTAACCCACTATTTACAGGTGGGAAAGATTTCATTTTGGACATGACAATAACACATAAAACAACAAAATCAAATTTCAAAGTAATGCAGAATGTGGATTACCAAAGTGATAAAAATGAATTTTTAAGATATCATTTATTGGAGGTTAATTTATAAAGAAGGTCAAATAGAAAATGATAAAAAATTGACTGAAAAATCACAAATATATTATAATTATATCTATAATGCTTTTGAATAATGAGTGAATTTTACTTGAAAGATAATTTATTGGAAGAAGAATTTTGAGGTGATTAAGAAACAATAAGAAATTTTTATAAGGGTCAGATAGATGTTTTAAAGATTATTAGGGAACCGAAAAATTTTTCAGCAGGGAAAGACTGAACTTCATCCTTGATATAGCAATACAATATATACAGCAATATAAAGTCATCTGGCACTATATACATGTGCATACTTATGTAAGTATGAATGCATCAATGTTCATATTCATGTATTCTGAATATTTACATGACACAACAAATGTATATTTATTTATTCAGTTAATATATACACACAAGCACATGCACGAATGAAAACACCCACATGCACGAATGCACACACCCACATGCACGCACACACACACTCCACACACCCCCACAAACTAAAAAATTAATGAGAAGGGATATTGCTAGAGTTTTAAAATAGTTTATTTAATTTAAAATCTTCTTCTGACGATGTAAACCATCAAGTGGTTCTATTGGCAAAATATTGAATCTTCAATTTTTTGTAATCAGACATTCTAATGATTCGTTTCAATAGCATTTACATTGATTATCTATGACTAATCCCCAACAATAAAATAATCACAGATATTTAGAAATATTGATAAGTGGAGCAACTAACATTCTTTGATATATAACTTTTTTTTAAACTAATATTTCTTGATATATATATATTTTTTTAAATCACTAAAGAAAAATGTAAAAAGATAAGTGGATAAAAGATAAGTGCCAAAATGATTGCATGGCTAAGAGGAATAAATATGCAATCAAATATTAACAGATTTGATGATGACCTAAGAATCCTAACATCTTCTTCTTAATCAATTCCTCTTCTACCATAGATCAGTGGAGAGGATCTTGTTTATTGAGCCTGATCCATTTATCTTGTTCTTTGTTAAATGGTACCAGCTGACTGCATCTATTCCCGTTCATTCCTCTTCTTTCGAAATTCTCTCTAACTGAACCTTCCTAAGTCTTTCTGAGCCTTCCTCTTGGCACTCTTCCTTCCACTCTTACTTCATATACGGTTTTGGCCATTCTTTCCTCCTGCATAATTTTGACAGGGTCAAACCAGCGTAGCCTGTTTTCCTCTGGTTTTACTCCCAAATTACTTCTTATCGTTGTATTCCTGATTTTTTCCCTCTATTCTTCTCAGAAACAATATTTCCATTGCTAATTTGGCTTTTCTGATTTCAGTTCATAATCCAGGATTCACTGCTGTAGGTCAGTATAGAGACAAAAGTATTTTTATACATAGTTTTCTTAACATTATTTTGACATTTCTCTTTTCGCTAAGAATTCTATTTTTAGTGAATGGAAGAATTTGCTGGCCAGTCTTATTCATTCCCTGATTTCACCATCAATCCAGCTATTCTCATTTAGATGGGCTCCCAGATACTTGAACTCTTTGACGTCCTTGAGTTCCTCTCCCTTCCCCTCTCCTCTCTCTATCCTCATTATTTTTGTTTTGTTGCTGTTTATTTCCACGTAAAACAGTTCTAGCTCTTCCTGTAGGACTTGGAGGTTGAATTGGAAGTTTCTTCCATTGTTCCTGAATAACACAATATCGTCAGCATATGCCAGAAGGATGAGATGAACTGGTCTTAGCTCCCTGCGGCCCAACTTAAAAGGTCTCATTCTCTCCTTAGCTCTCAGTGTCATGTTGAGCACTATTATGAACAACAAAGAGGTAAGACTACAGCCCTGTCTTATTCCTTAGATGCTGTGAAACTCCCAAAAAATGTATGGTTATTGGTTCTAACCACATTTATTTTCTTTTTATATACTCGTTAGGCTTGGATCAACTTCATGCTCGTTCAGTGCTTTGTTTACGTCCATTTTTCTGACCTTTTCAAATGCTTGGGTTAGGTCCATAAAGCAGGCATATACTTCTTTATTCTTTCTCACGACCTTTTCTGAGAGCTACCTCATTATGAATATAAGATCTTGGGAGCTTCTTTGTGGTCTAAAACCGTATTGTTCTTCTTCTAGAGTCCTCTCAATGAATCCTTTAGGTCTCTTCTCTAGGATTTTAGAGACCTTATACCTTGTACGGTACACTAAGCAGTGAGATGTCTCTGTGGTTTTGACAGTCTCTATAATATCCTTCTTTATGTATTTGTATTACGACTGATATTTCCCATGCCTTGGGAACTTCTTTCTTTTTCCATATTGAATTCAGCAGATGATGAAATATTTCATGCCCTATTGTTGCCATATTTTTCAGCATTTTGGGGGTTATATTGTTTATTTCAGGTGCTTTACCCATGTTCAGGCTGTCAATTCCATCTATGATTTCTTCCTCTCCAATGAAATCTTCCTCATCCTCATTCCAAGTGACGTCTCTATGGATGTTTTGTTCTGGCATTGACAAACTACCTGTATTGTCATTCAGCACCTTCTCAAAGTAGTCTGCCCATCTGTTCATTATTTTAATAACTGTATCCTTTTCTTTCCATGTTTTTTAAGTTATTGTTGCTAGAGTGTGAATGTGCTCTCTGAACACTATTATAAATTATGATAGATCTCTCAATAAATATTTTTAAAAAATTTCTTAGGCATCTATAGAAGAGCTTCTGACTTCCTTATACATCTTCCTTTAACTTATTTCCGAAATCTTTCGAAGCTTTTCTCTTCAACTGTAAGACAAGACTTTTTCTTTTCCTCTTTTCCTTGTACCTTGCATAGTCTTCCGTGTTTTTTGTCTGAAGATACTGTTTCCATAATTCCTTCTTTTGTTTAATTTCCCTTTTCACTTCTTCATTCCACCAGGCTGTTCTTTTTGCCCATCTTTGCCCAACATTGTTTTTTCTGCACACCTCCTCTGCTGCTCCCAGCAGTATTTGTTTTATTGCTTTCTAGCTTTCCTCTGCATTGTCAGCATCCCATGGATATTCGATGGTAGTTGCTTTTACTTCTATTGCAGACCTATATGTTTCTGCTCTACGTTTATAATTATTTATTTTTATGGCTTTGCTAGGTCTTGAATTTTCTTTCTTTATGTTTGAATACTCTAAAAGCATATCCATTGTTAGCAGTATCTGGTCTGTCTTTATCCTCGTATCCTCCTCTTAACTTTGGTATCTTTTGTTCTCCTTATTTCCTCTTTTGCGACTAGGAAGTAATATATGATAGATTTTTTGTTTCTGGAGGATCCTTCTCTTGTGATTTGGTGTATTTCCTTATGAGGGAAAAATATGTTCGCCTGTTTGCTGGCAGAGGTTTAAAATTCTTTCTCCATTGTCATTCCTGAAGTTTTTTCCATGTCCTCCTATCACTCGATGCCATCCATCAGTTTCCTTATCCACTCTGCCATTAATGTCTCCCATAATGATGGGGGATCTTATCCGGAATCCTGACATATTAAGAATAAAAAAAAAAAATATGAAGCACTACCAATTATTAATACTAAAATACCTAATAAAATAATTACTCATTATAAAATAACAATTCATGCACTTATCACTTAGTGGTATAACCATTAGTTTTAATAATATAATTATATAATGGTGTGAGAAAAAAAAATTTGTTTTCAATTAAAATAATCAATGTACAGAGATATACAGTAAAATTCCAATTAACTATCACTTGTTTATCCATCAATTAATGTGAACCATTAGTAGAATATAATTTTAAAAAATATGAAATTTTAATTCATGGTGTGAGTATTGACTCACCAAACCTCTCCTCTCTTCTTCAAAACGTTAATATTAATAAAAATTTACTTCACTGGATCATATGAGACAGGTTATTGAAGATATAAACACAATCGCATATGATTAAACATGAAAAATTATAGCTTAAAATTTTCAAGATCGAAAAATTTCCAAAACTTTGAAAACCTATACCTCAAAAATTATTAAACTTACCAAACCTGTTTTGGTCTTAAATTGTAACATATTTAATCTTGCTTAAAAATGCAAATAATATTTTTGTCGAAAACGTGCTCCTTCATGGTCAAAATGAAGAAAAACCGAAAAAAAAGTGCGAAAATATAGCAGTTTGGGAGATTTTCAAGTGATCAGGAGAGGGAGGGGACAATGTCAAAAACTTGGATATTGCATCTCAGTAACATCCCATATAAGAAACAAAAAAAAAAAGAAATCGACTACCCCCTTTCGATGCAACTTAGACTTCCTCTTTTCATGACAAGGTTACTGGGCTAATACTCCAAAAATCAAGAGTATTATCCTGTGAAAAGCTCATGCCCAAGAGAGATAAAAATAAATGCCCAATTATTTTCAAGCTCAAAAATCATTTTATAAACACTACTTACAACTTACATATTGCTTAAATACATGCTAGTTTTCTACTGTAAATCTTTTGTAGTTAGTATTTAATAAAAATTACTTTTACATAGTAAAATTCTTTAATTATTTTGTATGATAAAATTAAAGTCAACTGACTGCTATTAATAGGTTAAGCTATTTTCAAATTGATTTCTATCCTATTAACCATCATATCCTTAATCCAGGGAGTGTAGGTTAATGGAAGTTTTAACTGTATATAATTCAAAATCTATAACCAAATGACATAATAAACAATAGAAACTTGCTAATTTGACCCTCTCAGTAGTCTAATCTGACCATATCATGATCCCACTGAGTACTCAATAATCCTGAAACCCTGTCACTAGCTGAAAAGTTGTTAACAAGCTGTCTACAAATGTTGACACAGTCTTCAAGGTTCGTCGGTTGCAGTTTCTTGACAATCATCATTTACAAGGAGAATCATCCACCTATATGGACGAAAACAAAGATGTTCTTGTAAAATATGGCATACTGAGCATCTTGTTATGTTCAGTGAAGCAGCATGATAGTGGGCTGATATCCATGGTGGTTGGACGATCGAACATATTACTAGTGCAACATATTCATAGGTACAAGCACTGCTTGACTGACCACCTCCTTTCCCTTGACCTCGAGTTGTGGAATTTGTGGCTCTAAAATTTTGAACCTGACCTAAGATGGGTTTCAAAGGTCCAGGAATCAAAGGGGCTAAATCAAAGTTTCTTCAAAAAGCACATTGCACATTGACTTACCAATACCCACTTAAGTGAAAGAAACATTTCAATAATGAACAGCCCTTGTTCACCTAGGCAAGCTGTGTTATTTATTGACAAACCATAGGTTCTCCCCCTCCCTCCGAGTCGAAAATTACACCCACTCACTCTCGAAGTCTATCCCCCACTCTCCCCCCACTTTACAACTTAATGTAAAACCTCATGCTTCCTAGAATAGACACATTTTTCATAACATGCTTGTTTTATTATTTCGTGCCTCCTGCAATGATTAAGAAAGTAGTGCCCAACCTTGTATCCAATAATTTAACACACTTTCTATTTTGGAAAGAAAAAGAACATCCTATTATAAATACAATGATGGTTAATACAACCTTTTAGATGTTTCGACCAACGCCATAGTCATCCCATAGAACCGTAATAAATTAGCAAGGTACTACTGTAATTTAATTATTAGACTAATACACGTATTGCATATTTTCAGTTATTAAAAATAAAATATCCAATCTACATCATTGAGGAAAGGGTAAGCATATGTTGTGAAAATAAAAGTAATAACTGAAAAGAACATATGAAAACTATAAGCACCACAAATTGAGTAAATTAGCCACACTGTGTTTATAACCAAATATCAGTTGTTTTACCTTAAAATATCAATAGAAAAAAAAAGCAGTTGAAAATAAATACCATACCTTCCATAAAAAGAGCATTTCAATCCCAATGCATTGAAGAACGTGATTTAAATTAAGATTCATCACTGCAGAGCCACCAAGAGAAGCAAGCAAAGAGAGAAAGAATTATAAGAAATATCAGTCATGAAAAACAATTATAATTAGTCATAAAATAAGCTAGTTAGAAGCAGTTAATTTTTTAATACAATTAAACATGCAAAATTGTAAAACAGATGAATATTAACTAAGTTGAAAAAAAAAATTTAGCTTTATGTTAAATAAAGCTAACATATATAAGTGTTTATATAGAAAATAATATGTGCGCACACGCACATACACACACACACACACACACATATATATACCAACTAAGTAACTTTTAAAAAAAATATTCAATAGCTGGCAAAGATTTTCAATCCACAACAATATGGTTTTCCTATATAAGAGTGGATGCCTAACCAAAAATTTATGACGTTTTACTAAAACTTTGTCCTTCAGTTTATCGATATATATATATTTGACTGTCACACGTTTCTCTTTTGAAAACAAATGTTTTAATTTTTGACAAACAAGGTTCTCCAAAATTTTACTTAACACTTGTACTAACCAGAAATTCAATTTTTGTATATCAGAATGTTCAGAAAAATCTGAAAAAAATTTTCTAAGCAAAAATGTATTATCTTGATTTTTTTAAATGATTTGTATAAGCATTTTCTACAATTCCTAAGAATATATATACAAAATGCCATGATCAACATTTGTTAAATTTACAGGTGACATTTCTAGCAGAGTCATATTTACCAGACCTGTAACTATAGTTATGCTAGGACAGCTTGCTTACATTTTTTTAGAGCAACCTTACTTGCATCAGGTGAACTTATTTCCAGCGAATGCCTTGTAAAAAAAAATTTATTTGTATATTATTATTCCTTTGTTCATTGAAAGATTTTGATTATATTTCTTACTAGATTAAGTCATCTTAACATATGTTTTGTTTTTGTACAAAGTAAAGAGGTTATGCTCTGTTAGTTGGTTCATTCAGAATAAAATGTGTTCTTTGTGTGAAGATGTACTTCTGTTTTTTTCCTAATTAACTTCGGCATGCCTAGCTACAGTTTTTATGAGGAAAAAATCAGCTTGCATTCTCTGTTCACGGTGAGCAGTAAGGCTCAACTTCTTCCTTCCTCTAAGAGGACTTCATGTTAAAGAGAGGATAATTTACAGTAATGTCCATCTACATACCCTTATCATTTAGTAATATCGTAAGTCTATAGGGTACAGTCAAGAGAACAAGACAATTCACTCCTAAATTCAATTTCTTGTTTCTCTCTGGAGAATACTAATTTTACAAGTGACATACTTTTTAGTTTTAGAAATTCATAAAGGTAAACCCTCAATTGTACGGGGACAACTGCCATCACATTTAGGGTTATAATAAAGCTTGGAATAAATAATCATGGTTTTGAGATTCCTTTATAAAAAAAATTTAAAAAAGGAGAGGGAGGAAACAATTATTAAAACTGAATCAGTTAGAACAGCACACTAGACTTTACATCATCACAAATCATCTCTATTTTAGCTCTCTCAAGCACAAGATTAGACCACAATCTTTATTACCTACAGATCCTACAGCTTATTGTTCATGTACTTCATAATTGGTGGTTCTACATCAGAGAGAAACTATCTTTTGGAATCTATCTAGATTTTGGAAGAGTCAGCTTTTATGAGCCAACTACCATTAAGAAATCCCATTTGTTTGTATTTAGTATATACATATATATATATATATATATATATATATATATATATATATATATATATATATGATTAAAGGTATTTCCATTAACATTTGAGTATCTATTCAATTCTTATTTAGAATTAAATAACTCTCCTAGAGTGAGATAGCAGTTTGAGTACAATTAAGACACTATTTGATTAGGTGGAATAATGTGAAAACTTGGTCTTAAGCAGATACAACAATATCACATTCAGACTATTTCTATAAAAATAAGAACTATTAACATAAATAGAGATGGGAAAGTTATAAAACTATACCATCACATTAAGAATTGTTTTCATAAAAGATATTTAGGAAATGTTCAATTTAAATGCTACATAGATAACACTATATTAAATAGTTAGTCCTAGTATTAAGCATTGATCTCTTACCTTGATAAAGGTGATTCATAATCTCTTTCCAAATGAAACTCTGCGACTGACTGTCCAAGGATGTATTTTTTAATAAACTTTAAACAGAAATACAAATTAAATGTATGGATATGAAAACAAATATCTATTAAAGGAAGGAGATGGTCCGGAGTTGCGGTCATAAAAAGGCTAAATAGTGGTAAAACTATTGGAGTTCTAAGTGAAACTCCTAGAGGAACACACCTCCCTGATGAAGACCTGCAAAGTCGGGTCGAAACGTTGGCTTTCAATAAAATAGTTTTACCACTATTTAGCCTTTTTATGACCGCGACCCCGGACCATCTCCTTTCTTTATAATGCAACGGTCAACCATTAAATATTAAATATCTATTAAGTATTTAAATATTTCCTAATAAGTACAACAATTGAATAAGTTAATTTAATTTATTTAAAATTAATTATTAGTTCAGTTGTGATGAGTGATGGTAAGTTGAGATTGTTTAATCTGTGGGCCAGACCCTCCCACCATGCAACCCTCCCCTCCCCACCCACATCCCTATAAATTGTATGTTGTTGTGTTCCTTGTAACTATTTATTAAAAAAAAATCAATGTTCCTACAAAAAAAAGTGAACGAACTGCCCCAAAAGTGGTGTTCAAACATGGAAGACTGACGACTTTCACTTTAGTTAGTTTTTTTGTCACTGAGAATAAGAATTTGGCTTAATATCATCATAGTTGGTCTTTTATTAAAACTGGATAGTCGTAGAATAATAAAAAATGAAAAAATATTAAAAAATAATTGTGTAGCTATAAAAAACACCAGTAAAGTCAATTTTTTTAACAAAAAAATTTTCAAGTTGAAAATCAAGCTTCTTTTAAAATTAAACAGCCAACAATAACGCAAAACGTGCTGAAAGAAAACATCTGGAAAATATATTGTTCTTTCTGAAACACTGATTACTTTTTAAAATATTTGAAGGGGTTCCATAGAAAATGGAGCCCTTTCCATCTTTCCTTGTGCAGAGAGAATAATGCATTTAATATTAAAATATCCTATTTTTTTATGGTATGGTCCAACTTTAAACAAAATAAAGCAAATACAAATTTTTTTATTAGTGACGTAGGAGTTTCACTAAAAATCCTGGGAACTATTCATTATATGTAGTTCTGATTAGGTATATATTATTTTAGTTTACAAAACAGGTATTAATATGACTCATTTCCGGGGAAGTATATACATTTTAAATTACCTCTAAGAATCATTAAATATATAAAACAAAGTGTTAAATTGCAAACGTTAAATAAAAAATTCAAGATAATCAGTATTTTTTAAGTAAGTTTTATTGTTATAATTATATCGTTATTACAATAGAGGCCTTCTTAAACGACCTCCATATAGAATAAAGGAAATTAAATTTAAAAAAATAAATTAAAAAAAAATAGTTTAATTTTTTTTTACTATTAAATTATTGAATTAATATTTGTTTGTTAATACAATCAATATAGTGTACCAAAAACGTTATCATAGCACTATAACTAAGCCATTTATGAGCACTGAATGGTGTGGTAGAGGCCTGTAGGCATCCTGACCAGTACCGCTTTTCTGCTGCTTAAGTGCATTTTCTACCGAACTCCTTCAAATATTTTAAAAAGTAATCAGTGTTTTAGAAAGAAAAATAAATTCTCTAGATGTTTTATTTCAGCACGTTTTGCGTTATTGTTGGCTGTTTAATTACAAAAGACGCTTGATTTTCAACTTGAAAATTTTTTTGTTAAAAAAGTTGACTTTACTGGTGTTTTTTATAGACTAACAAAACTATTTTTTCGTGTTTTATCATTCTCCGTCTACCCATCTTTAATAAAAGACCAACTATGACGAAATTAAGCTAAATGCCGATTCTCAGTGACCAAAAAACTAACTTAAGTCAAAGTCGTCAGTCGGCCATGTTTGGACACCATTTTGGGGTAGTTCGTTCACTTTTGTTTTGTGGGAACATTGTTTTTTTTTTTTTTTAATAAATAATTACAAGGAACACAACGATATGCAATTTATAGAGATGTGGGGGAGGAGGGGTGGACGGTAGGAGGGTCTGGTCCACTGTGTAATTATTTAGTTAGCGACAATTAGTAGGAAAATATAATTACAAATTAAATTTAAAAAACAAAAGAATTTTTTTACTACAGTAAATAAAATTCAGTAGTAATGAAAAAATTAAATAAAACACACTTGTATTAATTTGCATTTGAAATATATGTTAAAATTGATTTATTTCAACTTAATTACTTATCTTGATAATATTGGTAAACCACAAAAGATTTAAAGATTGCTTTTTCAGGAAAAATAGATTTGGGTTGAGGTGAAGGTTTTCTTCGTACTTTACAACAAAATAATACTTTTTTTTCTTTCAATATCTCACTAGGATTCTTGTAATAATAAATAAATTTTAATCACCAAGTTTATTCAATATTTAATAACCATACAATTAAAAAATTCAAATATTTAAATTAGATCACATGTAGGTTGCACATAACCAGTGTTGCCCAATCAGTATTACCTCTATGCTACATCCCTTACTTTGTTCCAAAAATAAATTTGATTTTTTTTTTTTTATGTCATAATTTGGTTCATTAAGTTTAAAGAATAGTTCAAATTTGTTATTACTATAATTAATTTCACATGATAATCTGGGGCAGGGTGGCTGAGCGGGCTAATGTGTGTGCAACACCCGTTGCCCGTCAACCAGATGATTGATAAACTGAAGTTTACAAGATCTAAAATAATTACAAGTTCGCGACCCGGTTCTGAAGGGCTTATAACTCGGGGGCATTAATTTCCCACTCTCTCCTCTGGCTCAAAATATCCCCATGTAGACTTAAAGGAGAGGAAGGGGTGGACAACCTGCTGCAAATGTTAATCAGGTGACATAGTATTCAGCTGAAATAAGGTTGAGCATTTAGTGCTAAAGGCATATTTTTGAGAGTGAATAATTTGATAATGTATTTGAAGTTTAATTTATGACTTCAATAATAATGAAGTTTTTAAAAGAAATATTTCATGCCAGAAGTTTGTACACAATTAAGCAGCTCTTTTTCAAAATGCTAAAAAGTTATTGAAGGTAACATTTCGGTAATCAAAGTAGTGAATAAAGTTAATTTGCTAATGACGAAGATTTGAGCTTTTCCTTATCAGTATATTTCTTTAATAATGATACATCAATAAAAACATCATTTTTTGTTTTTTTATAATCATTAAGTCCATAAAATGGTAGTCGAATTCTAACAACTGATCAACAATAAGAACTTTGCAAAGCAGTTCTCGATAATCAGTTCTTAACAATAATTCATTATTATTAAAGTTTAACAATATGAAATCAACAAAGATAATTAAAATTCATATTCTGGCGAAATAGCTACACGACCTCCGAAACCCATACATTCTCTTCCCCTTCTCTAGCTTGTGAATTCTTTCCGAAAATCAAGACTTCTTGAAAATGCTGCAGAATGCAGGACAAATTGTTAAAAATTGGTACTGTCTCCCCAAAAGATAAACATCTGGTCACCTTATCCTTGATCAACCTTGCGAATTTCAACACCTTCAGAATCAATCTTAAGGCTTGTAGCCAATAGGAGGAGAATAGTATAATTTTATATTATTGGAATGATACAAAAACTCAATGGAAGTGAACTATTCCTCATTGTCAGCAGTAACTTATCTTTTTCATCAAACATTCCTTCATATCGTCTAAGATATTCATCAGAGAAAGAAATTCATTTAAAAGAAGTTGTAGAGACTTAAATTTCCTATTAGAATATATATCCATATTCAAATTAATCTCCAACCAGTCTACAGTTACAGCTATTTTAAATTTTTTCGTAAAACGATAGAATTTTCAGAAAAAGTTTTTTTTTTTATCATATTCTTGAACCACAACTTTTGTTTGCATGTCTAATAGAATGTGTGGCCACATTTTAAAGTAGAAAAAAATCATGTTAATTGGAAAATTTAATGTTATATTTTACAGATAATAAAAGTTTTATGATAATTTTATTCTATTAAATACATACAAAGGTTTAAAGATTTGATCATGGACTTCAAACTAATGAGCCCGGGACTCTGTTAACTTAGAATCAAGGGTAAATTCTTCAATTACAACTTGATTAACTGTCACTCACCAACTGAGATCTCTGATAAGAAGAGTTCTATGAATTGCATAAAAGGACAATAAGCACCTGCTAAGAGCAGATATCAAGATCATCGCAGGTGACTTTAATGCTAAAGTAGGAAGAGGAAGAAGCTACACCTCAACAATAGGGAAGCACAGCCTACATGAAATAAGCAACGATAATCAGCATCAGCTGAACAATTTCTGTGAATCGTAGAACCTTGTTGGTAGTACACTCTTCCGTCACAAAAATATACACAAGGGTACATGGCGATCCCCTAATAGACTCACTATTAATCAGATAGACCATCTTTTGATAAGTGCCAGGCATAAGTCAGACCTTCTTGATGTAAGAACATACAGAGGAGCAAACGTTGACTCTGATCATTATTTTGCCATAGCAAAAATAAGATCAAGAATCTTCAATGTAAGAACAAAAAGGGCCAAAGAAGTAAAAAAATTAACAACAGCAAGCTTAAGGACACAAATGAATCGGAACGATATGCGTTGAAGGTTGATCAAGAACTTGATCTTCTCCCTATGCATACCTACGACATAGAACATATGTGGTGTGGCATAGAAAGCTATGTTAGGAAAGCTGCCGAAGAAACAATTGCAACGGAATGTTACCAGAGAAGGGCTAACTGGTTTGACAAGAAATGCAAAATAGTCACTGATATCAAGAATCAGGCATATAAATTGATGCTTCAAAAGAGATACAACGAGGTTGATCTCTATCCCAAAAGAAGGAAGGAGGAAAAGCAAGTGCACAGGAGGAAGAAACGGAGTTCGGAGAATAAGCAGCTAGAGGAGATTGAGCAGCTCAGGCATAAAAATGACTGTCAGAATTTCTACAGAATTAATAATGAGTTAAAGCCGTTTAAACCACGAACCACAGCATGTAGGGATACAGATGGCACCCTCCTCACAAGCATGGACCTGGCAATGAGCAGGTGCAAAAACCACTTCAACGAATTATTGAACGCCGAACAAGATCGCGCAGACCAATTGGATCCTAACCCTGAAGGAAATCAGTGCAATGAGATTGAACCACCTGATGAGGAAGAGGTGTGTGATGCAATTGAGAAACTAAGAAACCATAAGGCACCTGGAATAGATGACTTGCCCGCAAAACTCTTTAAGAAAGGAGGGGAAATCTGGTTAAAGTCTTACAAAGCCTATTTGTGTCTGTGTGGACATCTGAAATAATGCAAAGTTCTTGGAAAAAGTTGATCTGAGCAAAATTCTTAAGAAAGAGGATGTACTGAATGTAAAAATGATCGAGGAGTATCGATGTTGCCTTGCGTGTATAAAATATTTTTAAACATTTTATATATGTGGAAGGCTTACTGGAAAAATATCAGTATGGATTCCGCAAAGGTAGATCAACAGTCAATCAGATCTCCTCACTCCATATTATACTGGAACGAAGCAGAGAGTATTGCATCCATACGCATCACCTGTTTGTGGACTTCAAAGCTGCTTATGGTAGTGTACTATGTGAACATCTTTATCAAGCAATGAGGGAACTAAACATCCAAGAGAAACTGATTCGATTGGTTAAATTAACCATGGCAGAATCAATTTATGTGGGTGAATTGTTAGAGATGAGCTTTGCAATGAATGGCATGAGACAGGGAGATGCGCTGGTGTATCTGCTCTTCAACATTGCATTAGATAAAGTGGTACGAGATGCACAGATCCAAATAACAGGCACAGTATTTAATAGAATGGTTCAGATCTTTGGAGGAACACTTACACTATCAGGTTGGGGGAACACTTATACTATCACAAACACAGTACACTGACATTGTATAGTAGGTCATCTACAGTACACACCTTAGGATCACCTTCTCTAGGAAGCCGCCCCGGAGGGGGTATCTGTCTGCAGGCAACAAGGTGACAGCCCCACCAGCAGGCTAGCTAGGGTATATAGTATGGGTTGATGGCCCCACAACACGAAATTAAATTAATTGGGAAACCTAAAACAGCCTCGGAACTTAACAGTCAAAAATAGAAACAACCCGGCAACCTCAGGCTTAACTTTAACGTAGGATACTGGAATGTCCTTACTCTCTACAGACACGGAGCACTGAAATTGCTCTTAGAATAGATTGACAGATATCATTTAGACATTACTGCCAACCAGGAAAGCCGATGGACTGGTCAGGGAATCATTGAAAAAAAGCGCCACACCATTTACTACAGTGGCAATGAGAGGACTCATGAATATGGCACAGGATTTGTTATAAAAGGAAGATATCAACAACAAACAATAGGGTTCAGGGCTGTAAGCGCAAGAATTTTTGTAGTAAGGATCCAAGGAACATTTTATAATTATTACATTTTAAGTGTGCATGCTCCCACGGAAGTTTCGGAAAAAGATGAAAAAGAAGCTTTTTATGAACTCTTGGAGAGAACTGTGGATGACTGCCCACAATATGATATGAAAATCATCGCAGATGACTTCAATGCAAAAGTAGACAAGGAAACAATATTTCACCAAACTATAAGTAAACATAGTCTGCACAAGTCAAGTAATGACAACGGGGTAAGGCTCATAAATTTTGATACATCTTGTGATCTTACAATCGGCAGTGCTCTTAAGTACCTCTTAAGAGAAAATAGTGAGTACCTCTTATAAGAAAATCCACAAGGGAACATGGAAAACATCTGACGGGTAAACACTGAATCGATCATATCCTTATCGATAGGAGGCACATGTCCAATCTCCTAAACGCGAGAGTATTCAGAGGGGCAAATGTGGATTCCTATTACTTTTTAAGCATCGCTAATTTAAGCATCGAGGCCTAAGCGATACGACCTAAATAAGCTTAAGGATCCAATAATTCTCACACAATATGAATCGGAACTGCATAGGTGTACTAGGCAGGTTGATGTTCTGGAGGGCGATATCGACACCGAATAGACTGCTACATCAGATACAGCCTCTAAACTGCTTGGACCACAAGAGAGGGATTCGAGATCTCCATGGTTTGAAGAGGAGTGTAAGAGAGCAATAAGTTTGAAGAATGAAGCACATAAAGCCAAGGTTCATCGCGTGACCAGGAGTAATGCCGAATTATATAGGCGAGACGAAGAGGCGAATGGAGAAATGTCTCCACCAGTATAAGAAAAGAAAATGAGAAATGGAAGAATTGGACTCCTTAGGGGAAATAAGCAGTACAGGAAATTCTTCAAAGCAGTCAATCGGAAAAGAAAACCTTTTGAACTACTGCTTAAATGAAGGAGGCAAACTTCTAACCAATAGGATGGATGTTCTTGAGGAATGGAACAGGCATTTCTCTCGGTTTATTAACGAAGATCTTTCGGAAGAAATTGGAAGCAACAGTTTTGTAGATTTTCCGTTACTTCAGTCAATGGAACCACCAGATGAAGAGGAAATTTTGAATTCTCTGGTGAAACTTAAAAATAATACCGCTCCGGGGGTTGACGAATTGCCCGCAGAACTACTTAAGTGAATTACTGAAAATCCTTCAAATACCATGATTCAGATCTGGAATGATGAAATAATGCCAAAATCTTGGAATAAATCAATAATACGTCCAATTCATAAAAAGGGTGATTTATTTCGGATCCCTCATAACTCATGACAATGTTGTGGATTCTGACATTAAGTGAAGAGTACTATGTGCCAACTGTTGTTATTATGGCCTCAGTCCATATTTTAGGAGCCGTGCTTTAACCAGAGGAACAAAAATCCTATTTGTACTTTATGGCTCAAAAACATACGAAAAAAATCATGACAGAAGTAATGCACGGAACAAGGCGTAGAGGAAGATCCCTGGCTTTGGTGGAGTGACGGTGTGGCTAGTGATGCCAGGTCCATGTTAGGAGTGAGAAGTTGGATGGTGGCTGCACAGGATAGGAACAATTGGTGTAGGCTGGTACAGGAGGTCAAGACTCGATATTGAGTTGTCGCGCCTCCTGAATAGAATTCAACAAAAAATGTGACTCGCTTAAAAAAACACAAATCTTGAATTTCCTACTTTACTGCTGAAAATCAGGCAATTGTTTATATAATCTTTTTTGTAAAATTTGATGTCTACTATCAACCTTTTAAATATTTCTCTCTACTTACGCAACACCCTGTATATGCTTGAATAGGATACGTTATTTCAAACATGGATTCAAAAACGGCCTGTGAAAGAAACAAAGAAAAAAAAATTCTTGACTCCTAATAAACTATTTCATTCAATAACAGTATTAATACTTAATAATGGCCTTCCTATTTAACCTTTTAGCAACAATGAGCAAGAAGGGAGGAGCAGCCATGAGGACTGGATTAGCTGACAGTTATCCATGCCACTGTGACAGAATCATCACCTTTTCATTACCACTTTAGCCTTTATATTTAAGGCATCGTTCTTAACTTTTTTATTTTATTTCTATATATAATTGATTGAAAGGACCACAAGATGGTTTGAAAATAGAATTCATCACTGAGCACCCCATCATTTAAAGAAAAAGAGCCTGACGGGATCTCAACTCATATACTAACATATACAAACTAGTCCACCATACCCTGAGTCTGATTCCCTCTCAACCCATAAGAGTCCACCGTCGTCTGGGCCTGATCATCTTTCAACTCATAAATGAATATCCCATCGTTAAAGGGTAAAAAAGATTGCCTTATTTTTTATCAAGTTAATAATTTGAAGATAGTTTAAGAGTATAGAAGATACCAGTATAATGCTACCAATGCTAATTATTCCAAAACAAAATTAAAAAAGAAAGAGGAATAAGCTCTTCTAAAGACAAATTTACTTTAATTCTAGGTGTAAAATAAGATAAGATAAACTTACCGATTGTCGACCTATAAACCCATCAGGAGAAGCCATGCTGCAAGCAGTGTGTACTATCAGATAGAAACACATACAAACATACAGCACCATGTAAACAGAAAGAAGAACCCACTGCCACCAGATATTTATATCTTTGAAACTGGTGATAACATATGAAATGTTAATGATAATCACAACAGCACTAAGAAGACAAGAAACCAGTCTATTGCCCCTGTAAAAGAAATAAAATAAAATAAATTAAATTAAAATTTACATTACACTAATACAGTAATCTCTCGTTCGAGAAACCTGGTTTGCACGAAATATGGGATAATATAAACTAATTTCTTAGTCACTTCAAATACATCGCGTTTCCTGTCATATTTTCAATAAATACCTCTTATAAAATTATTTGTTAACAAGAATTTTGAATAATCTTAGGCAAGGGTAGAATGAAGTTTTCGGCTCCTACAAACTCATTCTATATACAAATGTTTAGTACATAATCTTCACCCGGCCTTTAGTTTTAAATGTAGTATTATTGGTGATTTCGGGTTCAAATGACTATGGCATAAAAAAAACTAAATGAATAATAAACAAAAATCGTCCAGGGATCTAGTGATCCCAAAACCAATACATAAATTTCAAAGGAAGTGGATAGTCACATGATACTTAAAACAGAAGTAGCAACAAAATTGAATATTTTGAAATCAATCATATAAAGCATAATTAAAATTCAGCTATATCGTCAAAGCAACTTCAAGAAACAATTATTTTGAAGATATACAAAATGCTGGTGATTAGAAAAACAAATCAACGTTGTCAGGGTAGAAGAAGGGTAGTTTTTTAGCCCCAGGATAAAAAAATAAGACATTTTTAGTGAAAAAGGTCCATAAGCGATAGTTATTTCATCTTATCCACAAATTCAATTTTAAATTTACTGATATTTTTCTCTTCAAACCTAACATGAGATGAACTAAAAATCATAATTTCTTCTAATGCTTACCCGTTCCTGCTTTCAAATTGTCAAAATATGTATAGAGAAACTTTTAAGCAACCATACAATTCAAACTTGATTGTCTTAGATAAGATTTCAGTTAACATAATTTTTTATAAAACAAACTACAGAATTCACTTACTGAGTTCATGTAATGAGGTAGGTACTACTGTAATATCATTTTGTAATTATTATGGTTTATAAAACCTAAATGAAATGTTTTAACAAAGAATAGATCAAATAATAACAACCAAAAACAATATATTGAAGTTCATAAATAAAATAGGATAAATAAGTATATACCAATAATGTCGATAGTTGACAGGTGATTTCATTCAAAGACAAATGTGGAATTCAATGCTTATTCAACAATATTCAATTGAAATATAAGTAAATTAATTGCCTTCAGATAATGCTTTAATAACTATTTTGAGAGATGGATGACCCCTAATTTGAGATTTCTTGGGGTTCTAATATCTTAGAAAGAGAACATAAAGCTCTGTCAGTACTCTTGTTTTACACAGATCTATTTTCGACCATTGGTCATTCATGAGGTTATAGTGGAGCCCAGGTATTGGAATTTGTCAACTCTCGTGAACGATTTCCCTTCTATGCAGAACCTGTTATTGGTGTGGAATTTTCTGCTTATTATCATATATTTTGTTTTATCTTAGTTTACTTGTAGCCCAATTTGCTCTACTTCTCTTATCCGAGTCTCAGCAAGTTTTTCTATGTCCAATTGACTGCTTCCAAGGAATACTATTTCATTTGCATATCCAAGAGGCAGCCGTGTCCTATTAATGAACTGTTTGGAGCATATTTACCTCTAAACGGTAGGTTTAACCAATCCAAGTTTATTTGATATTTGATTGTCCCATAGATTTTGTTGTTTCTATTTTCATTAAATAAAATTTGTTTGTTTTGAGAACCTTTCAATATTTACTTTGTATTATTAAGTCTCAAAGCAATCAAAATGGACTAAAAACAAAACAATTATGTCAAAAAGCATATATGATTATTTCAATTAGTAGAGTATTAAATATAAAAACAAGAAATTTATACTTACAGTCCATTAGCAAACACACCCATTATATTAGGATTACTAGTGAAGGCAATAACAGGCAAGGTGGCAAAGGGAAGCTGAAGGCTCATGATATCATTAAGGCGATCATTTAGTGAACTCAGTTCATCAATCCGTGAAAAAAACGCAACATAAAAAGTGGGTGCTATGGCCACTAGTCTAGTGAATAAAACTCTCTTCCAACGACTCCATTGCAGATTTAAGAAACCCTGTGTTAAAATTAAACAAGATACAATTTATATAAGGAGAAAATAAGACATATATATATATATATATATATATATATATATATATATATATAACAATTTGACTTAAATCCATACTTAACTACTACAAAGCTCACATTCAAAACCAAGATGAATTTAAGATGAACTTTTTTTCATACAAATAGAATTTTTAAAAGGGAGCACATCTTAAATTCTATGACATCTTATATTGGAGATTTAAAATTCAATTTTTCCAACAAGCTATTAGGATTTAGAAAATAGAACTAGAATTTCTACAATAAAATTTAAATCTAAACATTTATAAAATAATATTTTTAGCAACAATAAAATTTAAATGAGAGTATTTATTAGGAAGGAGAATTATATATGTGGATTATTTCTGTGGAGGTTTAGTAACTGAATAAAAAACAATGATGTAAAATATAATAAAGAAAAACTTTGTGAACTATGGTTGATTCAAAGTAAATAAGGTAGCCTAGCTGAGAGCATTGAACCATGTAAACATGTAATCACATTGAGATTTTATTAAAGAGAAGAGAATCAAATTGGTAGTAAGGCTTTGACAAGTAGGGGAAAATGTTACCTGTACCTGTATGACCAATTTGACTGATTGATTTCAGAAGTCAATATTTATTAAACAACAGAAGCTAAATCATGAGATAAGTTGTTGGTCCATTGTAAACACAGAAAATAAACATTATACAGTAAAGTAATAAACAGAAAAGCAGCTTAAGCTAGTATCATTAATTCTCAATGATAAAATCTACTCCAAAAAGAATATAAATGTGTACAAATTATAGTTTAACCTATGTGTTTTGTTGTACCAAGTCCATTTGGAGAGTAAAGGGTATGTTCGTTACGGTTGTGACCTATCACCAATCTAAGCAGAATATAAATAAGCTTAAAATACAACTACATGTGTTTCATTTGGAATCTTATTTGGTTATTATTAAAAATTATTTTTAACCCTTTAACTGCTAATGATGGCAATAGCCGATACAACAAAACGTGCCCCTATTGTAAATGGACAATATGCCCCGCTTCTACTCTCAGTGCTAATGTCGGCCATAGCCGTCCTACAACTTTTCTTTCCATTTGCTACTGTCGAGTATATCCGGCACGACCTTGCTACATTCTACTAGTTTCCTAGTGATATAAAGTTCTAACTAGAGCCTACAGATGGTGTGGGGATTTATTTTGAAGCTTTTCTTTTACAATTAATGAACCGTTATGGGTGACTACCTGTTCCGGCCTTTCTCTGGCCGTCTCGACCATTATCATTGTTGTTTTGTGTTCTTTGTAAAACAAACCATGTGATCAACTGCTTCAAGTTTTTATAAATTGTATTTAGTTTAGTCTAGTTATTTTAGGTAGTTAAGTGGGCGCATAGAATTATAGAATAGAATATTTGAAGCAGTTCCGTAGAAAATGCACTTAAATGGCATAAAAGCGGTACTGGCGTAGGTGCCTACAGGCCTCTACCACACCCTTCGTAACTCATAAATGGCTTAGTTATAGTTATATAATAACGTTTTTGGTACATTATATTGGTTTTATTAACTAACAAATATTAATGCAATCATTTAATTGTCAAAAAAAAAAATTAAACAATTTAAAATTTTTTTTTTTTTAAATTTAACTTCCTTCATTCTATATGGAGGTCGTTTATGAAGACCTTTATAGTAAAAATGAATGAAAAACGTTTGCAATTTAACACTTTGTTTTGCATATTTACTGATTCTTAGAGGTAGGTTAAATTTCATATACTTTCCAGGAAATTAGTCACATTAATACCTGTTTTATGAACTAAAATAATATATACCTAATCTGAACTATATATAATGAATGAATAGTTGCCGGGTTGTTTAGTAAAACTCATTGTACAGAAATTGCGGAATAACTTTTTTTGGAAGTTGGAACATATCATAAAAAAATAGGAACTTTTAATATTAAATGTATTATTTTCTCTGCACAAAAAAGATGGAAAGGGCGAAGCTATAAGTTCTTCTAGATAACCGGAACTGATTGTTTGGATTGGTCTCAAAATGATGGAAAACGCGAAATTGAACCCAAAAATTGGAAAAATACATTAAGCGAATGAGAAAGGAAGTGCCAAAATCACGGAAAAGAATAAATGGACCAGTATCCACGGCTATATATGGCTAAATATATGGTATATGGCTAAATGAATGTATAGTAGACAGATGCACAGAATATTTCGATTGCTTAAAATCATTGCTTAAAATAAACCACTTTATTTTCGATTGCTACTGAAGTTGCACATTGAGACTGTATTCACTTTGACGCAGGTTATAGAGAGGTCTATCGAGAAAGGGAAATAGCTCTCCTTCTGTTTAGTGCATTTGCAAAAGATGTATTAAGGAATCTGAAAGGAAAACGAGCTTTTCTGAAAGACAATTAGATATTAGCACATTCCAAAGTATAAGGCACTAAGCAGATAGAGAGCTATTTTTCTTTCTAGATGGACTTCCCTATAACCTGTCTTAAAGTGAAAATAGTCATAATTTGCAACTTCCCTTCCAATGTGCAACTTGAGTTTCTCAATCCATATCGCTCTGGCAATCGACAATATTTCTTTTTCTAGCTTCTACAATTCCTGAGTAGAGTTTCTTTGGTACAATAAACAGGAATGAATCTCGATGGGTATTACATTCTTATAAATTTGTATAGGTAAAAAAACTACAGTCCTTTCATACCATTTTCTAAATACAATTGTTGCTTATGTACGCGCAGCAGTTCGGTTTACTTTGTCCAGACCAGCTGACTTGCCAATTGCTTCAAATAAATATTTCTTGCTGATAAAATGGTCTTCACCATAATAAACCAGCATCGTCCCCTTAATATCCAAACTCCTATACATTCGTTTAGCCATATAATGGATACTGGTCCATTTATTCTTTCCCGAGATTTTGGCACTTCCTTTCTCGTTCGCTTAATGTATTTTTCCAATTTTTGGGTTAAATTTTGCGTTTTCCATAATTTTGAGATCAAATCCAAAAAATCAGTTCCGGTTACCTAGAAGAACTTATAGCTTCGTCCTTTCCATCTTTTTTTGTGCAGAGAAAATGATGAATTCAATATTAAAATTTCCTATTTTTTTATGATATGTTCCAACTTCAAAAAAAAGTTATTCCGCAATTTCTGAACAATGAGTTTTACTAAACAAGCCGGCAATTATTCATTCATTATATGTAGTTCAGATTAGGTATATATTATTTTAATTTATAAAACAGGTATTAATATGACTAATTTCCTGAAAAGTATATGAAATTTAACTTACCTCTAAGAATCAGTTAATATGCAAAACAAAGTGTTAAATTGCAAACGTTAAATAAACAATTCAAATTTATGTTTTATAATTATAATTATATCATTTTTACAATAAAGGTCTTCATAAACGACCTCCGTACAGAATGAAGTTAAATTTAAAAAAACAAAAAAATATTTAAATTTTTTTTTTTTTTACTATTAAATGATTGCATTAATATTTGTTAGTTAATAAAACCAATATAATGTACCAAAAACGTTATTATATAACTATAACTAAGCCATTTATGAGTTACGAAGGGTGTGGTAGAGGCCTGTAGGCATCTACGCCAGTACCGCCTTTCTGCCGTTTAAGTGTATTTTCTACGGAACTGCTTCAAATATTTTAAAAATTAATCAGTGTTTTAGAAAGAGAAATATATTCTCCAGATGTTTTATTTCAGTACGCTTTGTGTTATTGTTGGCCGTTTAATTATAAACGACGCTTGATTTTCAACTTGAAAATTGTTTTGTTAAAAAAATTGACTTTACTGGTGATTTTTATTGCCTAAGCCAATTATTTTTTAATATTTGTTCATGTTTTATTATTCTCTGACTATTCAGCTTTAATAAAAGACCAACTATGAGGAAATTAAGCCAAATGCTGATTCTCAGTGACCAAAAAACTAACTAAAGTCAAAGTCGTGGATCCGCCATGTTTGGAGCTGTACCAGGTTTTTTTGTGGGAACATTGGCTTATTTTTAATAAATAGTTACAAGGAACACAACAATATGAAATTTATAGGGCTGTAGAGGGGGAGGGTGCACGGTAGGATGGTCTGGCTCACCGTGTATAATGGAAGCTTGTAAAATGGGCTACAAATTTGGTATATTTAAATATACTATTCTTATTTAACTTATATTGAAAATTTTTTGGGAAACAAAATTCTATTTCCAAAAGAATAGAAAAACAATCAGAAATATATTAAGAAAGTCAGTTACATTAATTCATTTCTCAATTTAACTATTTAAATACAGTATAAATTTTAACTCAATTGATGTTTTTTTTTTTTGTTTTTTTCCCTTGATACCCCCACCTCACCATTTCAGGCATAGGAGAGCTTGTTCTAGAGGTACAACCAAACCTGTTCTAACCTGTTTTCAGAGTGGGAAAGTCTAAATTCATTCTGTGGGTCCACCACGAAATTTCGACCCACCCAGCCCAGATTCAAACCGGTGTTGTTAGACTCAAGAATGTTAAAGTTTATGTTTTATCATGCTCAGCCATCATAAACTCTCATCCCATTGATGTAATAGCAGCACCAGAAATGTGTTTCTTGAGTGGCTATTGCCGCAATCCTACCTGTATGACTCTAGGCAGTTTCCCTCCTCCCCCACAGTATTATTTTCCTTTTGCTCTGAAACTAAAGGAGAACAACATTTAATGGCAACCTAAAATATGAATGAGCGACCTTGAATAAACTATAGCACAATGAACATCAGAAGGTATCTAATGAACTTTTAATAATCGGCTAGCGCACACCATAGCAACGGGATGTCCAGGCAGCAAAAGCCTTTAACAATTAAATTTAATTGTTTCACCTCATTATGTTTCATAAGACCAATTACAGTTCGTTTATCAGGATGGGAATTGCATTAATGGCCACAGAGGCTGAATTATTTTCCTTGAATTGACTTGGAAATATACACAACTACATAACAGATTGTTTCCTATGAGTTTTTCAAAACACACCAGGCCAGTCTTTGTTGCGAAGCTAAAATATTTAATTTTGTTTGTGCACCACTACAGAATTTTCTGTTAATCTTTTTAAACCAATAAATATATTGGTCTCTTTCATATTGAATATCATTTTATTACTTGTAAATTTGTCAATCAATCAACAAGGAATCAACATAAACATTAATTTGATAAAAGACCGATTTATCGGCCTTATGACCTTATTTTATTAAGATCGGTAGAGACTGATTGACTATTTTTTTTTTTTTTTTTTGCTCATCCTCTCAATCATAGCAATTTTATTTTGTTATAATACATAGAACTGAACTGTTCCTTTCCATCAAATGTAATAGTGTTATAAATTCAAGAACTAATAGTTATTTCTAAAATGTATATGCCCTTTTCACAAATATTGAGCATACCTCCATTGCAAATTGCCCTGCATAACATCCTGTCATTGTACTACTTTGACCTGCAGCTAGTATACCAACAGCCCAAATGTACATCGCTGCAGCTCCAAATTGACAACCCAAGAACACACCGCTGTTATAAATATCGACATCAACAGTACCATTGGGATTCTGAAACAATTGATCATTCTTAACAGATTATTATTATTATTTTTTAAATAATACTACAATTAAAAATTCTTTAAAAACTCCACCTGTAAAAAAATTATTTTAACTAGTCCAGAAAATATAGAGCAATAGCTCATCACTCGGTCTCCACCACCATGATCACATCTCTCTAGTTAGCATCTTCTCCCACTTGAGTGTGAGTTAATTTTCGTTGCTGTGGGGTCATTTCTGTCAATTCTGCAATGTATCAAGAAGTCGGCGTCAATTAAACATGATGCCAAACATGAAGTGCAGAGCATGATTCATTTTTTTTTAATGCAACAAATGTTCAGGCAATCAAAATTCGTAGATAAATAATGCTATTGAATAGTAATAATGCAATTAACCAGTCATCAGTGAGGAAATAGTGCATAATTTCAAATCAAGGAAGAACCAGTGTGTAGGAAGAAAACTAGAATGGAAGTCCATCACTTGTGATGAATGAAATGAAAGAAAAATATATAGAAAACCGCCATGGATGGAAAAAATAAAACTCAAAGCTCAGCTGCTTTTGGTGCACATTGATTATTTTTTTTTCAATTTAATTAAATTCAAAATACTAAGGTTAGCTAATTTTTTATGTAGAAACATTTAATGAGAAGAAAAAAAGTTTTTCATTCAAATCTTTGAAAATTGTTCGTGACAATAGTAGCATGACAAAATATAGAACAAAAATTTAACAAATAATATTCATAAACCATAAAATTTTCAATTTAATGAGATTATCTATAATCAATTTTGGACAAACTAGAAATGACTTTTCAAGGAAGAGGTTGAAAAGAACTCCAAATTTGAAATTATTTTTAATCAGGAATGATGCAGGACTTTATTCTCATCTCTTTTTGTTTTTTTTTATTTCTGAAATTTACAACTGTATAAATTAAATATACATCAAGTAAATGTGTAAAAAGAAATACAATAAGCATGAAAAGAACTGTAGAGAATCTACCCATTGGGAGCACTCTAATTTATTCTCATCTTAAAAGGTAAAATTACAAATTATAAATAAGTAATGATTCTTAAACTTAGTTGTCTTGAGACTTATATAATCATGTTGAACAATATCTCACAACTACACGAGGTGTGTTAAAAAGTAACATAAAATTTTATATTTCATGGGTTGTATAGTCAGATTCGGGCAATTTTTCGTAGTTAAGTAGGTAAACATGTCTTAGATCCATATGTACAGTGGTAGCCATATTGGTTGATGAGTATTTTGCCACTTGTGAAGAAGGTTAACATGTGTTAACTTGCGTAGCAACTGATCAAGAACATTATGTAGTTCACACGCCTGCTACCTGGCACCGCCACATGCACTTGCTCACACATTTTACCAACAAGTACTATTTTTATTTCATATTTATTTATACAGATTATTATAATGTAAAAGCTACAGTAAAAATTTGTAAAAATGAATATACATGGTGAATATTCTTTTAATAATAAAAATTTATGGTAATAAGGTATACTGATCCAAGCTTAAAACTAACAATAACAGATACTCTAGTATAGATAGTCGTTTTTGTCGTCAAGGATAGATTACTCCTTTTATATTTTCATTGTCATTTAATATTTTCAAAGTTGAGATTTCACTCTACCCCCTTTGGGGGAGAAAGATAATTCACTGCCTAGTCAGAGTGATCAGTATATTTTACATTCTTTTTGGTTTCTTTTTCATATCAATTTGACTTTTTATTTCTCTAATGCACATATACCCCTTCCTCCATGTATAGCCCCATACTAGGTCTGGGTATTCATCTGTCATCGTTCATTTAACTACCAACAAGTTCTACGCCGTTTGCAGGAAGAAATCCAAAGAAAGTGCCTCCCAAGAAAACAACACTGTTGTGATTCCCCAGGCCTCCATATTCACCTAATATGGCCCCCATGTGACTTTTACTTTTTTTTTTAATTTTTCATCTGGTGTGGTGCGTGCAACAGTTTGAGGATAGTAATGGACTTTCGGATAATTTGGGAAACATAATTGCTCTAGGAGACGTATTGATCAAAAATTACTTCAAGATTTTTGAGGGAAGAAGGGAGACAAACAGATAGTTCATTGAAGTAGAGTAGGGGAAAGTAAGGAATGGAATTAATAAGATGTTTAGAACCAATGAGAATGGCTTAAATTTTCTCAACGTTTAACTTTAAATCATTGCTCGCTGCCCAAGTGTTAATACTGTCTATATCTTCTTGTGGAAATGTGTTTAAATGTCATAATTTAATGTCAATTTTTTTCCACGGGCTGTCGGACCAGGAGAAACAGGATAAGAGGTACAGGTTTTTGACTTTTCTACGGAGATTTTTGATGATTTTCCATTTGAACTTATGATCTGGTACTAGTGATGAGGAAATACGGAAGAATTGTGCCTTAGCATGTTGCAAGGAAGATTCAGTAAGGTTTGGAGGGTCTTGAAAGAGAAATAATCATCTAGATTACGTGTTCGTCTGAAGTGCCTTCTAGCAGTGTCTCTTCTCTTCATCAACTCTCTGATTTCAGGATTAATCCAGGGATCTATTTTAAGAGAGGATAGATCCATTTTACACACAATAGATACAAAATTAAATGATACTGGCTTTATAAACATAATTTATTTGTTTAATATTATAACCAAAATATTAATATTAAACAATAAAGAATTACTTTATAGTTAAACCAATATTAGCCTCCACATCTGCAAAAGCAAATGGTGTAATTATATAAAAAAATTTTTATTGTTAATTATACTCTATCTAGCTCAATAAGTTATTCATGCATATATCAAATTAATACAGCCCTATAAAATCTCTAAGGTTTTGGTTTTTAAGAAGCTGTCTTAAGATCAAACTAAAATGGGCACTAAAACTTTGATATAGACTAAACAAGTGAAGTTCTATTCTAGTTTATTTATAAAGTTGGAATTGAGCTATAAATTAATTTAAAAATATTTAATTAAATAATAAAATATAAAATAAATACCTTATTAAATATGTCAGAATGATCAGTAAAATTATTTTCTTGGCATACTTCAAACTGAAACAATACCAAACAATTATTTAAGTAGGTTAAATATAAATTATATTGTGAAACAATGTCATAAATGGACTAAATCCTGATAGTATTACATGTAAAAATACAAGCTGTTATTATGATTAGTCATTCTTGATTTTTTTATAGTGAGAGAGCATGTCTAAATTATAAATCATGAAATCTTAACATATTGCTTCACTACCCTCTCTATTAATAAGCCATCCTAGAGGGATTTCAAGAAGGAGTTTCTCCATAAATTATTTCTGAAAAAACATTTTAGTAATCTCTGACGTTCTGTAACTTTTTGTTTGATAATTACAAAGAATGATTTAAAACTTTAATTATAAGAGAGCTAAAAAATGGTAAAAATAATATGTCAGAATGATCAGTAAAATTATTTTCAGTTTTTTAGATATTCAGTTTTAGCATTTAATATAAAGCTACAAAAAGATTTGTTTATGCCTCATTTCATTTTTCAGGGAAAAACAAATAAAAAAATATCTTTACCACTTGTCTCATGAAGTTTTATATTTAGTACATGATAGGGAAGTACTTTTTCTTGATCGGCTAGTATACAAGGAGGTGATATCACCACTCATGCTCAACCACCAGGTATACTAAACCCCCCACCCTTTAAAAAAAATTTGACCTAAAGTTATGGGTCATCTTCAGGACTAAAAATAAATCAGAGATACAACAGATCTAGACATGAACAAAATAAAATTACAACAAACAAATAATATAAATTAACAATAAAGATAGAGAAATAATACAGTAAATAAGAGAAATTATTTAAAACAGAAGATGCTTTAATGATACCACAAAAATCTGCAGCAGCACCCGCGTCACACAATTTTCACTTACGATAAGATTGGCTGAGAATTAAGTGTTTTCATATATAGAGAAGTGAAAGAAAAAATTATAGATGGTACAACATTTAAAACAATTAATTAGCGTATGTTGTTCCCACTAGTCAATTCTACATTATATATAATTGTTTTCTAAAAAAATATTAGGCCAAAGGTCACCAATAATAAACGTTTTCACTTTATGTATTTAGTGTTCAATGTTTCGGCCTCTCGAGCCATTTTCAAGACTGCAAACAAATTTTAATTTAGTTATTTTACTTAAAAATATATCATTATAAAACATATAATCATTTATAAACAGTCAGTTACCTACATAGTCCTCATTCTATTTTAGAAAATATTTTTTTTTATATTACAATTTTTTAATATTTTGGTTTAAAATTAATGCAAAAATTATCTACCTACCAAGCACCGCTTCATAAAACTTTTTTTAATTTTATCATTATAATATAATTCATCAGTTGATCATTCTCTTATTTCATCGAATGTCGTTTTTAATTCTATAAGTTATATATCAATAATTAAAATACAATGTTAAATTTTGAGAAAAGAATATAATTTGATCACAAAAAATGTACCTCCTTAGTAGAAGATATTAGGTGTGATGTTTATCTATAACGCATTCATTCAAGACTGGATTTATTTTATATAGGAGTGGGGTGGAGGGGTTAGGAATCCATTGTTTTATATGTTTTATTTGAAATCATCTTTCGGTATGTTATATTTTAATTTTGTCTATTTCGCTAGCATAAAAAGTGTTAAGATTATATACATGATTTAATGATTGTTTAAGGTTTTTTGTAATGAATATTGACTCTATTATTCTCTGTTTGTTAATATTCTGTTCTCTATGTAGAACTGACGCTGTACCGAAATCAAATTTATGTTCATTATTTGTTGTGGTGTGTTGAGATAGTCTGTAGCCAATTTTGATTTTGTTGTTTTAGACCTGCAATTTTTTTTATGTTGTTGTATACAACATTCATACCATTGTGAGGTTTGTCCATAGTATGCTAAATTTTCACAGTCTTCACATTGCATTTTATATACATGGTGTCCCGTAAATCTATTCTTAACATCTAGCTCAAATCGAGTTCTAATTAATGGATTTTTTAATTTTTCCAAATTAAAATTTTCAACATCGAAATGGTTTTCTTTTCTCTTATTTATATTAAGTTTTTGTGGAAGTTTGGCGATTACTAATTCATGATCCGACCCACATTCTGCTCCGCGTTAAGACCACACATTAATTATACAGCTTTGCCAGCTGTATAATTAATGTGTGTAGCTATTTAGTATAAATAGCTATGTTATATCAAGACATGATCGATTTGATTTCGTGTTTGCAAATCCGGTAATGTCCAGGTATATTTATGAATACCCTTATGTTTAAATAAAGTAGGCACTTTAAATTATTAGATTTTTCGAGATGGCAAAATTTATTAGCAGAACTCCATTACCATTAGTATAGTCGTGTAAGCTTTCTTTACCAATCGTCGGAAAATAAACTTTTTCCCTTCCCACCTTTAAGTTAGCGTCTCCTAGAATTAATTTCATGCAGATTCGCAGCAATTTATCAAAAACCCACTCCAGTTTACCATAAAATTTGCATTTGGCTTCATCATTGTCTTTGGTCGGACAATGTATTTTTATCAACAAGATTTTAAACCAACTTCCCTGAAATATGGCTACTGAAATTCTATCACTAAAGAATTTTACATCCCTCAAAGGGGATAGCAATCTATTCCTAATTAGAAAACCGGTACCTAAACAATGATTCCCACTTCCTCCATTCCAAATAGTGTACTTTCCTTCCCTTCTCGAGCCCTCCCCTGGCCAGCGAACCTCTTGCAGAGCCATGATATGCAAATATCCAAATCATTGGGCTTAGTAACGAAAAAATTCCTAAAAGGTTAATATTTGCCTACCGAATGGTAAACGTCCAAGGGGTAGACTGAAGCGAAGATGGAAAGATTGCGTTAAAGCCAATCTGAAGGGCCTGGGTTTAGACGGCGAACGGTGGAGGGAGGTGTGTAATAAGCGATTGGTGGTGTTGGCAATGAACCTTCGGGTTCGTTAAGCCTTTTATTTTTATTCTTACTTTATTATTATTTCTTTCTCAATTAACACTTATAATTACTTATTTTACCTCAATAATTATCTGCTTATTCTCTTATAACTTATCATTTTACTTTGTTCATATCTCTGTATTGTCTATATCTCTTGTATCTCTGATTCATTTTTAGTCCTGTAAATGACTTAAACCTTTCATGATTTCTTTACTGTTATCGATAATATACCTTGTACAGTAAATTATCTATTATGTCTAAGTTTTTCAAATATTAAAGAATTAGGTACACTTTAATAGCGTTTGTGAGTATCAAGAAAGGTGTCCAAAAGCAAGAGTTAATCCACAGCTAATAGAGCAGAAAATTAATTTTCTGACACAGACAGACTCAAACCTGGATCTAACAGTTGTATCCAGTGCCTCACCCACTGAGCTACCTCACCCCTTTTGTTTATCTATAGACAGTTTCATATTCTCCTTTGGGTAAAAAAGGCAATCTTCTCCGCTTAATATAGCAACTCCTGTAGGTCACCGGGCCAGATCTTACTATATAAACCCAGTTATTTGTAACTTTTGGGCACCAATATTATTCTCTGTGACTATTCTTTTCATAGACAAAGAAAGTCTGATATTGTGTACTATAAAAGTATTACAAAAGAAGATATCATAAAACATACATTTCCAGGTTGAATAACAAAAAAAAAAAAAAAAACTAAAAATGTATGAGGGAACACAAACTTTTTCCAAAACAAAAACTTGATGAGAAATTTTACATAATTTTATCAAACAAAAAAATAATAAATAATAATGAAAATACTAGTGCACTGGTAAACATTTAATTAATTTATGAAAAAAATAAACAACCTGGCTTATATATTAGCAGGAACACATAACAGCTAGTTGTGATAACAAGTGGCTGAGAATGTATGAAGCAGACGAAATTTGGTACAACAGTAAACATCACAAAGGCAGTTGATAACTGAAAAAAAAGGCAGCCAAGTGTAACACCATTCTAGATCAATAATAAAACTTTATTCATTTAATAGATCAATTTCTAATTAAATGTGGCTCATATTTCAGGCATAAAGTTTTTGGAGAGCTTGGCTCTTTAGACTGTAATAGTAGCTCAGGAATATAGTAGTGTGAAATTACTTAAATTTCATGTCATGAACAAATGTACAATAATGAAAATGAATTTTGACCTCTTCAACTTTCTGATATCTTAAAATTCTTTTTCTTTTGCTAGCTCAGTTGTGTCTCTTAGCACAGAGCTCAAACGTTATAGGCCAACCATGCCACTTATTCATATTCTTGGCCATTTTTATATCTGGTGAAATGACTTTCCTCTTAGCTATCTAAATTTTTCTGTGAGTTCTTAGCATTGGACATCAGCTGAAGTATAACAAGCCTTTTCAATTTAACTATCTTTCAATAAAATATTGGATTCTATGGTCATCTCACATTCAATTTATAAGCCCTCCGCATATAAACTTCTTCCACTTTGGCTTTGATAGGAGAAGGTTTAATGCAATCTCTTTCTTTTTTTTCCACAGCAGTAATTGTGCTGAAGTGCTTATCGATTGCTTCCCAATGCAAGATGACCAAAAGAAATCTTTTAATTTCTTTATTTAATCCAGAAATCACTAACTGAGTATACTCAGCAAATGGTTTCTATTTTTTAATTGATAAGAAATAAAACAAAATAAGCTATCTTCAAGAAATAAATTTTGCTGTTTCAATACTATACAACCACAGAAAGAACAAGAATAAAAATGTATTATAAGCCATCAGACTGATAGGTAAAATTTTGCAGGTCCCAGGAATAGAGCTTCTTGTTCTCAAGCTGCAAGTTAGTGAGTGAGGTAGAGTGGGGGAGGTGAGGAGGGCAGGGTTCACACAAAAGAATGATAAATGTGCCGTTTTGATCGATGACCTTTACCTATTTTTCTGGTAAAACCATAAGACCATCACTATAGAAGTTCTAAGATTTCTGGGCAAAAACTAAACCCAGTAATTTTCACAATCCTCTTTTAATGCCAGCTTTACAACATTAAGTGAGTTCTGTA